GCCTGACAGTCTTCTCAGATAATTCTTTGTGCCTCTGTATCATTAGACAATGTCTCACTAGCATATTTTGCTATATGAGGATTCGAAGCTTTCCTGAGTAAAACTACTCAAAAAGGTATCTGAGGATAAACATAAACATTATTCAGATAACTTGTATTAGAGGTATAGGGTGGAGTAGGGTTTTTTTGTACTTTAGAAAACCAGCTTGAGCCTTATACAAAATGTAACTGGAGTTACATATAGCACCAAAAGCAAAGGCCCTGCCTTTTTCCTGACTTCAACAATATGTCATACAGGACGATATATGTGGCATGATGTCACTGTGTATCAGTTTCCCCCATTTTGGCTTCCACGTTTAGTTTTACAGTCTAGAATTAACACTACTGGGCTGTAGCAGATGTTTGTAGCAGCAAAGTCTCCTCATGCAGCCTTTGGATTTGGTAAAAATTGCCCAAGGCTACATAGGCTGGTTCTTCTCCCAGAAGGCACTTGAACTTTTGATCACCCAATGCACTGAGCTAAAGTACATGTAAAGGAAATATGCATAAAAGAAATAATAAAGCAGCATTTTATGCAGATAACTACTTATTGTGTGTCATAAAACCCAATGCAAATAATGATTTGAATGACAATACAGTCTGTATTAGATGTAGAGAAGTAATAAATCCAGTAGAAATACATGAAGATATACTGCCAAGAGTAGAACCACAGTCCAAAGCACTGTGTGTGCTCACATGAGAGGGGTTTATATCTGTCCAATGGAATGTTTGACTTTTTCTCTTGGATCAAATGTCATCCTCCTCAACATTGTATTACAATCTCCTTCAATATATGTACCTTGCTTGCAAAGGCAGCGCATCATGCTAGAGGAGGAGGGTGCTGTTTAGAAAAATACTGTAAGCAGTTCTGGGCTGATAAAACTAATCTTGCAGTTCTATAAACCTTGATGAACTGAACATTTTATGAACAACTACTTGGAAACATATTAGATAGTTCTTTCCTTACATTTCAAAGGCCTAAGAAGCCATGTATCAAGATATTATTTGAACACTTGGAACTGAAGACATATGTTTCCAATGTCACAAAGTGTTTTCCTCCTACACTTAGGTTATAACAGTATTAAAGACCACTTGTTAAACAAAATAATGCAAGTAGCCTAGGTTTCATATGTATACTTTACTGTGCCAAGCCACTTCTTACTTGTGCATTTTGCTGACTCTTACAAACTTAAATTGCTTGGCGTTTGTATTCTCTACATAGAACAAATCATCTTTTTGTTTTGTTTTTATAAAGGCGGCTTCCTTTTTTGGCTGCACTTAAACTTTTGCTTTTATAATTTACCATTATTTTGTTCATTGACAGCCTTTTATCTTTACCACTGGAGGCTAATCCAACTTGTCTTGTGGTTGGATTAGCCTCCAATGGTAATGATAAATGGCTGCTGACCAACCAACTCATTTAGTTGCAGAATGTATTGATAAGCTTTGTTTCTGCTTCCTGTTACAATCTGTGAGGAGAGAAATAAAATAAAACTCCAGTAATCGTTAATACTCATCTAGATAATCCTAACTGGAATGTGTTTACAGCTGTGAGGGATAATTTTTGCACACATAATCATTTCCAGAACATATCATAACAATGTGACAAATAAACCTATGGCAGTAATACTGATGAGAAAACTTCAGTTTTTAAAATTTTTTTGTTTATTTGGCTTCCCTGTGTTGTGCACCAATCTTTTTTCTGTCAGCCACTGATCTATTCAGTATTATGGTTTCATAGACAGCTTTCTGTGTATACCACGTCTGCTAGACCGGTTTGCAAATAAAAAACTAGATGGGCTGAGATAGTTGAGTTTTAAGCTCAAGAGAATGATAGGGATTGTCTGACTGGCATGATTGCAGGAGAAAAACAACAATCTGTAGCAGGTGAAGAAATAGCTTAATAGCAACGCAGCACAAGTACTTCCCTTATGTGCTTGGGAATCATACTACCCTCCCTTTTGGAGGAACTCATACGAACAGAGTCTGTTTGCGATTGGCCAGTGTGTGGAAGTACTGGCTAACAACACAAGAAGTTACCATCTTGACAGAGGATTCTGGCTGGTTCACAGTAGCTGAAACCACATTTTAAAGGCTTGTTTAATGGGAACCTGGACATAGAACTTCAAAAGCATGTGAGCTAGTCAGGCAAATACAGTGTTGTTACTAATAATGCCTTTACAATATCTTCATATTTGACTAGCACAATGACAACAAAGACCAGAAGAGCCTCCTCATTAGTGAAACTTAATGTTTTACCCTCTAAGCTCATGGAGGGAAGATTTCAACATACAGTGGTGCCTCGTATAACGAGTGCCCCGTTTAACGATGAATTCGCATAGCGATGGCATTTTTGCCATCGCTTTTGCGATCGCATACCGATGTTGCCTATGGGGAAAAATCGCTTTGCGATGTTTTCCCCCATAGGCACCATTTTCCCCCAGCTGAGCGGTGGGAGCCTCCGAAGGAGCGCTCCTGCAGCTCAG